CATGCAGATTGTCTTTTATTCAGCTGGTTGTCCTCCAGCTGATCTCCTAAAGCCCACAGCATTAGTCAAATCTGATGAATAATGGAAGACTTTTAATTAATACAACTGGAAGAATCACCATTGTGTAACAACAAGTCACTGTTTTATCCGTCCATATTGGCCACTGAGGATCTTTTAACCGTTTTAAATGTTTTTATTCCAAGGGCTTACACCCCTGGGTCAAACATTGTTGTGTATATGAACTATATTGTGCTCATTAGCATATTAGCAAATGGGTGAATTGACAAGACCCACTGGATATATTAGTAATTTCCCTGCATACAAATAAAATCTGAAATGCGATCAGAAACATTAGAAATTAAGATGCAAATGATGTTTTCCTGCAATGTGAAAAAGACCATGATTAAGACACAAACTGGGTTTTTCGGCAGAAGCAGAAGAGTATTTCTACCTTTTCTTACAGGAGCTCTGTCATTACACGTGTGACAGGACACCTATATAAGCAAATGCACAGGCTATTAAAGCCAAGGCTACTAACGTTAACAGGCCCTGAGTGTGACGCTGCAGGGTTCATCTGAGGAGATCGTCCTTATTTCTTCACTGGCGACATTTGTATTTCTCTCCAGATCGTCCTCCCAGACATATACGCGCATTATCAGCTCGGTCCCTGATGTGGCTGGTGCGGCTGCAGCAAGCCGACGGTTCGCCATGAAATGCAGCAGGGAGGCTGTGCGCCGTTTATGCGCACGTCTCCACACATCACACGGCGATACCATGAAGGGCCGAGGGCGCGTGACGCTCCGCTCGCTGCCACACAGACAGTAACGTATGGCAGAGAGAGAGAGGGGTCCTCGCGCTAAAACAAACCTATTATTTGTCAAGTTGCCGTTCACCTGGCGTATATTTAAAAAAAAATAAAAAAACACGAGCTCGCGCTGAAAGACTGTACGCGTTTTTACGATACAAGCTAGCTGCGCAAATCGCCTCTGAAATTTGAAAATAAAAGGCTTTAATACGTTTTAAAAACGGATAGTGTGCCACTAGCAAAACAATTCCCACTTAACCCACGGGCTAATGTTAAAACGAAGTAATGTTTCAGCAAATAAGCGACGTACAATCAGAAAAGCGTTGGCTCACCCTGCTCTCATCTCCTTTCCTTTAATGTTAATTATTCCATAAAATTCCGGTTTTGCTCCAAACACCAACATTTACTTACCTATCAAGCAGTGGAGCATTAGCAGCTTTGCAGGTCAGCTGCCCTCTCTCAATTATCAATGAATGAGACTTTAAAATAAATAGATATGGCTTCTATTTATCTCTTCATTGCGGTCCGCCGTGGCGACTCCAGACTGAAGCTGCGCACGCAGCACAGTCAGCGGTCCTCCCTCCTCCTCTCCACACAGGGACACTTATTAAAAAGACATATAGTAAGAAGAAAGTAGATTAATAATAATAATGACAGCAATATATTTCAAAAGGTAAAAATAAATAGTCCTTACATAAACTGAAGATACTATTTATTTGGTACACCTCCTATTAATTAAATCCATTAAATTGCTAGTGCAACCTAGGCAGTGGTTCCCAAATCAAGGGTCGGGAGCCCCACAAGGGGTCGCAAGTTAAGGCTAAAGGGTTTGTGAGATTATTAATAGGATAGGAAAGCAGGAACAAAAAACAACATGCAGGCCTAAACAACATTTTTCAGACTTCCCTAAAAAAAAAATCCTATGAATTTGTGGATAATATGTGGCATTTCAAACCCAGAAATGTGAAATGTGTTTACAGATTTGCATGTAATCAACTTACAATACATGGGGAATACAGTTTACAATAATAAATTAATAATTCATTCATATTTATTTGGACTAAAATTTAGGTGTTTTTTTCTTCAGGGACAGCTATATTTCCCCTAAAATTAGTCCCCAATTACAGACCTGTAAAATAAAGTGTGGAGTGGATGGTGTGGACATAACCAGCCTGTAATGTGGCGATAGAAAGATGCAAATGTGACGCCACACTCTTAGGTCCTGCAGATACAATGTAGGAGCATTATAGGAATAGTATATGCTCTCTGAGTGCTGTAGGGCTTTTAGACATGATTTTATTCTTTCGTTTTAAACAGTAGGCTATAGTAGTAGTAGGCATCAGCCTGGTGAGCATCTGATGACAGAGGCGGAGGAGAATGGAGTTTGGCAGCTGCGGATGAAAGTCTGGTAGTGACAGGCCCGGGTGAGCAGGATCCCCTGGGTCTCCATATCAGTCTCAGCCAGCCTTAGGCTCTGCCTCGGGGACCCAGAGCCTCTCATTGTTCCGCAGGGAGGCTGTTTAATGCACTATAATGAGCCTCACAATATACCCTGGTGGCCTGGTGGTGACTTTGGTGTGGTTACCTCCTCTGTGCTCCTCCCCCCACCCTGTCTACATTCAGTATTACCAGAGACAATTTAGAGCCTAAAAGGACTTTGGTATTACTCACACATGGAAGGGAGTACAGCTCAGATCAGGACTGAATGTGTTGTTCTTTTGATGTACCACACTGCAATCGATACATCTTAACTAAAGCTAGAGCCATGAATATTAGACAATTTTCTACCTATAGTGTGGACGGATGTCTCTTGTGGGGGCTCTCATCTATACTGTCTATACCAATTCATTCTGTGTGGAACAGCTCCAGTTTCTGACACATTTATGCTACACAAGCTGGACAAATGTGTCAATAGACATTAAAAATGCAAATAGGGAGGCTGAATGATCCTAAATGCTACACACTAGTCCCTTCATATGGATTAGACACCTGCAATTATAATTACTACTTACATATAAATGAGTCCTCTGAAGGTCTTTTGATTGCGCTTTGCATTTAGGGACAGTGCAAAAATGACTGGGGTTGGGAGAGGGTCTGAATCTCTTATCAATTTAAATTTATTTTAAACTTATTTTTAAAAAGAGCCTCCCTAAGGTTATGAAATATATCATGATATCTCGAAACAATTAATAATTAATGACGAACATAACAAAATGGTGAAAATGCAGCCACTCTATTTTGAATAAAGAGCTGCTAAATAAATTGTTCTTATTAAGGCCATTTTAAAATATAAATATGAGTCATCCCTTGCTCTCCCGGTAAAGTTAGCCCCTCCTTAAACAAAAATAAAATAAAAATGACATTACCCTCCCTCTAATCTTTTCCCACTCCCCCACCCATGTGATAATTTCCGTACAGTCCCTTACGTCCGCAGTGAGTGAGTGCTGAGAAGCTGTGTGTGTTCTTTTGAAGGTTTTCATTTCCCTTTGTCCAAGTTCTTCATAATCTGACAATGATAGAAGTCACGTTGCGCTGACATTCGCTTTTAAGGCCTATACAATTTCTGCTGTACTGTCATTAGAGCAAGAGTGCAAATGATGACACAAAGCCTGCTGTACAAAACACAGACAAACACTGAAAGAGACATGAAAGACATCTCTGTGGTCAACCACCATCAAAGCTTGTAGGATCATTCTTCACAGTTAGGCGCCTACCTCAAATCATCATAGTTCCATTTTGTTCTCCATCTGGGCACATTGCTTACTTGTGATACATCTCATATCTTTCTCTTGAGAATGAAAATACTTTATTTCTCACGCCAATGCATCCTGTCCCTAATGTTAATCTGGGTCAGGGTTCAGGGTCACTGTGTCCTTTGATGGGTACCCACTTGGGATGCCAAACAGGCCAGGGCTTTGTTTACCTTTTTTTCCCTCTTCACTCACAATCTCAGCTCAGTCGACATGCACCGACTGAGAACAAGGCGTTTTTGTCCGTCACAGGCCCGTTTGACGTTAGCAAGAGGAACAAAGAGAATTCACACTGACTGGAGCTGGAACATGACCATGAAAATGACATAACACATGCAGAGATGACATGTTGATAACTACAGCTAAGCCTTGAGCCTGTTAGGTAGAGAGGAAGCTGTTCATACTTAAAATGTTTAAAAAAAACAAAAAACAAATCTCAGCTGTGTTGTTTCAGGACAATATCAATATCAGTTTACCACCAATTTAAACACTCTCTAGTTTTCATATTAAATGAATGGCTGCTGTGCCATTTTTGTGATTCAAAATAAGCCTTATTTCTTGCCATTTCAATCTGTTAAGAAAGAAAACTATAGTTTGGATATGAATCTATGTGACTATGTTCTCCAATTGTTCATGCACAGAATCTTTAATATACTTAATTTATAATGTCTTTTTCTAATTCTACTATCCTGTGAAACCATTACTTTTTACATTCTGGTTTTGTTGTAAGATATGGCGCCATCTCTTGAAGACAAAGCTGACACTGCAGTCCAGTAAGGAACATGAGCTCTGTTAAGAAAAATGAAAAGGTGCGGTATCATAACAAGATGAAGAGTCACATGAATATGGCATTTTATTTATATGGAGGAAGTATTCAGTATTCAGATACCCCAGGGTCCTCCAAACTGATCCAGGGGACGTTCAGTGAAAAAATATTACATTAGCTATTAAAAGGAGATTTCAAAGCATATCCTAACGGGGTGTGATTATTAAGAGATAGTTCAGAGATAAAGTAGTTTGGGGGAATTTTACTCTTTCCCACTTTCCCAGAATCAGAAGCAGTAAATGCCTTTAGACAGACCTCTTTTTATGTATTTGGTGAAGTCTGAAATTATATCAAACAGCAATATTAGAGGTTATCTTGGCTCAGTTATTTAGTGTCTATGGCGTCAAATAACATAATCATGATCCCTTAGGCATCTAGCGCTTGAGAGAAACTAACCACGTAAACTAAGAGGGGCTGAGGGGGCACCTTTTTCCAAGCTTTGTCTCAGGGGAGGCCCACAGTCCCAGACTTTGAAAACCCCTGTATTATACCACTGGAACCACAGCTAATGTAATATCTTCTGTTACAGTAAATCATGATATATTGTCCTCATACACTTGTGGCTGAAAATAAACAGATTTTAAACAAGAACTATTAACATCACCACTGATCCAAAGAGTAATTTTCAAAGCAGTCACATTTATTTGTCTTTTTTATACACATTTGCTAAGCAGCCTGTTGTGCTAGCACTTGGCTTTGATAGGATTTACTATGGGACTTCCACAATGCTTACTAAAAAATAAATACAAGACAAAGTGTTCCACAGCTCAAAAATATACAAAGGTTTCAAATGAATGTAAACTTTTTTTTTTACATAAGAAACAGTTCAACAACCTTTGTGACAGTTCCAAAAGTTATTGTATTCACAAGTTTATACAAAAAATTACAAAGCTGATAGCTACAGTATGTAGAGGTTGATCTGAAGTCCAAATGAAATGCATCTAGTACCATAAGTTACGCTGTAATTCTTCTTTAGTGTTGGTTTTATGTTTTCAAGAATGTTTCAGACACGTTGACGAGAAGAGGAAAAACAGTTGGATGACACTATCATGCACGTTCTAGCCTTTGGCAGAAGCATCTAGTCCACTCCTATAGTGTACTCAGAGTGTGGATATTATTTAAGGAAAATCAATTATCTCATTGTAAAGGTCTCTCCAGATACAGCAAGAGACAAATTAAACTTCACAAATATCACTTTATCAGTGCAAAAAGAACTAGTATAGGAGTATGGAATATATATATATATATATATATATATATATATATATATATATATATATATATATATATATATATATATATATATATATATAGAGAGAGAGAGAGAGAGAGAGAGAGAGAGAGAGAGAGACTGGAATGAAGGTTCACAGACATAACCCATTGTTTACCCTGTTACATAACATGACATTGCATTAGTATGGATTATTATTAAGGCCAAAATGAAGTTGATATTTACAGTGTACCAATAAGTCTTCCACAGGGAAAAATGGCTACATAGACTCATTTTTGCATAATGGTAGTGACAGTACCATCACTGTGATAAACACCATATATAATATTGTTGTGAATATGTGGGACAAAAAACTAAAAGACTCAGGGTGGCAGGGTTACAACTAAAACCTCACTTGTAGCTTATGACTGTACGTGCCATCTTTTAATGACATTAATGAGTTGCTTTCCATATTTGTCTCTGCAACCAGTGTCTGAAATAAGATTTAAAATGGGTCTCTTATCAACAAAATAAGTATCTGAATAAACTATGTTATTAATAATACCAGCAATTCATTGCATGCTTCCATCCAAAGATTTCAGTTTTAGTTTTTTTTTTTAAAGGTGTAAACCAAATCAGGCAGCGTACAGAGATTTTCTGCGTCAGTTAAAAAAATAAATATATTTAGATTGTTGCGACACAGAAAATATGAAGCCATAGCAGGTCGGATTCTGATGGGGAATAAAATAGACAAGCATTTGGTACAAAATAGCAGCAAATGCCACATAAAGAAATCCAGAATGTTCTCATTTCATCACAGACAATAACCTGGCTCCAAATGTAACCTTACATCCTCCATCAAAACTGAAAAACCTCACAAAAACACTCAACCTGCTGAGGCCCAAACTGCTTCGCCACTTGTTGTCTCTCGCTGAGCAGAGTAAAATAAGGTATATTTGATCCTCCAGAACACTTTCCACTTGCTTCTTTCAACAATTCATAAACACACCAAGTCAGCAAACCAGAAATGACCATTATTACTTTTTTTAAAAACCCTCCTCCTTATTCTTTTACAGCTCTCCTATTTCACAACCTCCGACCCTTTGATCACTTTTTCATCTCCCATGTTAACACCTCCTCCCTTCTTGTCTCCTAAGATTGTCAACTTTGACATTTCCTGTCTCACCCTCTAATTACTCATCGTATTGCATGAGAATTTTAAAATGTTGTGATAACAGGGTATCTTTGATATCATTTACAATATACTTTGAAAAGGATCATCATCAATATGAATTGACGCATTGAGGCTTCACATTTTTGTCCTCTGCTGTTTCTCACACAGTGTTAGTCCTGATGGCTTGAAGAAATGTAAAAATTGTGTCTAATTGCATAGGTATTCACAGAATACATAAAGTTAATCCAATAAATATTTTCTATTTTAACAGGATACTGATAAAAATATCAAACTGTGATATATTTTTTTTATTCTGGAGAGAAATCTAACAGCAGAACAGCTAAGATTTAACATTAACATACTGTAGAAGGGCTGAAGGAAGGCAACCAGATTGGTGTGCGTGACACAAACTAAGCAAATAATAGAACCATGTAAGACTGTTCATCAAGCATATGTTTCTACAGAATGCAGATGCTTAATAATCTGGTTCCCTGTTTCTAATGTGTTCATAAAAGTGTTCATATCATGAGGATATTTCTTACATACAGCATACAGCATGTATAAAACATTTCTGAACACAGGTAAAAATGTTTAAAGTAGCCACAGAAAAACAAGCTAAGCCATTAACCCTAATGTTCTGTAAACCACATTATCTTCATCAATGCTCCTGCCCTCACCACACCTCATATATATTATAACTCCCTCTGGTCCATTAGTTTTACTGTGAACTAACAGAATAATTTCATAACTTTTGACACTTTCTACTCTGTTTTACTACGTAGAGCCCTGTGATGAGCGGTCGTCATGAGGACTTCCGTCTGAGTTCTCCGTCTCGCCCTCAGAGATCGCCTGCATGGGCGTTGAGTACAGTCTGCTGCGCATGCTGTAACGGCTGCTGTTAGCGGGCGGGGGAATTCTGGAGCGGCCCTGTCTGGAAGCAGCAGATGTGGGGAAGGATTTCGGGGAGAAGCCCTCTGCGTTGGCTTTGGGGTAAGGGCTGGAGAGCTGATCCGGTCCTGACGGATATTGCTGTTGCTGCAGGGGGGAGGCGGGCTCTTCGGGCTGTCTGGGTGACTCCTTTAGGAAATCTCCGGGAAATTTAGGAGCGATGGGGCTCTTGAGGATCTCTGTAGCAGACATGCGGTAATTTGATTCCGAGCGGCTGCCCTTTTTAAGCAGCAGCAGTTTGAACTCCTCGTTGGAGGTGCTGGACTTCTTTGCGTTCCTGTAGATGGGCCCGGGGGCTCTGTGCAGGCCTGGTGGGGTCACAGCAGAGGAGGGTGACACCAGCGAGACGGGGGAGCTCACAGTGCTGCTGGGTGGTGTGTTCCCCGACGAAGCACTGAGGCGGTTCCTCACACCCAACTCAGTGGAATCCTTCCTGCCCAACACTTTCCTTTTGGACCTGAACATGAAGAATCCAGTTAAGAATCTCTGTAAACGTAAAGCGGAGACAAAGAGGCTGCAATCCAAACTGCTTACCTGTGTATCATAGCAAACAGATCTTCAGTGGTCCGAGCTTTGGTGGGTGACAGAAACACGCTGTCTTCCTCTGACCTGGACTCGTCACTCAGAGGGGACAGTGCACTATCACTGGGTGTAGAGTCTGTTAACAGAAACCAGGCAACATTTAAATACACTGCATACACCGTATATTCTACACCAGTGGTTACCAGTGTTTCTAACATGTGACCACTTAAAAAGAATCAGTACCCAGCTAATGATTACCATTATTAATCAAAAGCCCACCACTCTTTAGATTAATTAAATATTTGTTTCGTCTTTAAAGACGGAAAATAGCCCAAGTAAAATTGCAAAACCCAGAAACACTCATTAAAAATGATATAAAACATACAAATGCAGCACAAACTCACCGCAGGAAACAGAGAGGTTTTTGTGTGTGTATAAACTCTCAATAAATAATACCTAAAGAAGTTATTTTACTGAGATGTTTTACTTTGATTGCTGATTGATTTAGTCATGAACATTTACTGTTATAGGGAAATAAGACTGAAGCCAAGTTTTCAAGAACTTTAACAATCATCAAAACTGTAATTTTCTATCCACAGAGTAATTTGAAACAAAAAAGGTCAGAAAAGCATCAGTTTAAAATAAAATATAACATTTTGGTTTTTGGATTCCAAGGAGGGTTAAATAAAGGGCAACTGGACTTGGATGGAGACGCTTGAAGACGTTATGTGGCAGAAATATTTTCTTTTTTTTCTTTCTTTAATCCTATCCTGTTAGTCATATTAGTCCTCAGATTTATCATGCGATCCCCTAGGAGGCGGATCCCATGTTGCTCTACACAATGTACAAAACCTGCAAGAAGGACATTATAATGAAACTAAACAGGAAAATAGCAAATGCTCTAAGACCCAGTAACGGTTTGTGTCCTGGGGGTTGGGAATCTCTGCTGTACATGACCACAAATGTCAAGGATCATAACAAATATACCATGCAGCAGTGATAGAGACAGCAACAATTTACCTTTACTGAAGTAATCCTCTGTCTCCTCCTTGCCGTCCTGAGAGGCACATTCGGCTGAAACACCTGACGACTCACATTCCACTTCTGTGCTACCTTCATCACTGATGAAACTCCCTTGCAACGTCTCTGATTGGCAGTTAGTAGCAGGCTCTTTATCATTACCGTTGGATCTCTCGGGTGAACTGTGCTGAACAGAAAGAGGAGGACCTGGTTTTATCTGACACAGTTCTTCTTCAGACGACTCAGTTCTTTGCTGTTGTAAAGGCCCCGACTGCGAGCTGCAGTCTCCAAAGCAGACATGCGTTTCCACCGACCCTCTGCACGTCTCTCCTTCATGACTAGTACTCCTCTCTGGGATTTCTAATGATGGCTCTGACTGCAGCCGGAACGCCGTCGTACCCTCCAAAGGAGCCTCTCTGTCCTGCTTGGTCCTCGTCTCACTCTGACATGCTGCTTCTCCTTCCGCAAGCTCTTCATTTGAGGTAAACACAGATTCACACGACCCCTTCGAGGGTGTGCGATGTTGATGAGAGTTATGTAACAGGGGACTCTTAAGCTCTAAGGGTTTACTACAGGAAAGAGTGCTAGTTAGGTTCACAGCCGGACATTTGAGTCTGGAAGTTGTTTTGTACTCATGACTTCCTTCACATTCCTTACTGATGGATCGGAGCTGTACTGAGTGCAGCACCGTGGGTGTGATGGACATGGAATGGGCATTAAACACCTCTGAGTTAGAGGGCGCTACAGGTTTGGCTGACAATGCAGCTTTTTGTTTGTTTTGGTGAAGGGCTTGAATCTGGTTCCTGTAAGCTGAAGCCTTGTTGCCGACACTGGGAAGGGCACTTAAGTCGAGGTGTGAGGGAGGGATTATTGGCAGCTCCAGGTCTCTCTTCGAGGTGGCTCCATCCCTGCAGGAGAGCGACTGCAGTGACAGCGTCGAAAGAGACGACTTCCTCTCCGGGACTTTGGGCTTCCTCTTGCCACTGGATGGCGACAGTGGTCCAGGAAAGAAGGCTGAGGGGAATGAGGAGGTGGGGGTTTCTGACTGACTGGAGTAGCCGCTGGATGGGCTGGCCAGGCCTGCCAGCTTCTCTGGAGACGTTAGCTTGAAGTCTCCCTCAACTGATGGAAGTGAGGGGGTGGTGGCTCTGGAGCCAGACTGGGACGTCTGGGACTCAGAGCTTTCTTGTGACTTGATGCATTCGATAACAGTTGTACCTGTTGCTGTGCTTGAGTTTGACAAAGATCGGTAAGGATCGCTGGATTTTAAATCATTCAGGAGCCACAGATCTGCATAGTCTGACTGTACAACCCCCTCATCCTTAAAGGAATGTGCATCTGTGGAGCTAAACACGCCAAACTCAGGTAGATCAGCTGAGCCCTGAACCCCGCAGACCACAAGGGGCTCTCTGACCAGTGAAGAGTTTTCTATATGACCTGGAGAGCCAGGCAAAACCAGCTGCAGTTTCCTCTCCTTGGAAGACGGTGGAAGTTGCTGCCCGCAAGTAATCTTTGGTTCTTTCTTGTCAGGGATGTTTCCCTCACTGCATATTTTTCTTAAGGATGAACTCCTCTTAGGCGGAGACGGCTTCACCTTTGGTTTTCTTAAAGAGAGGCAGCGTCTTCCCAAAGTCACGTGACCACTTAAGTCCGACAGGCCGCAGTCAGAGCCAGGGGCTGCATAGTTATAAGTGAAGCTTTTGCTACCTTTTAGGCCGCAGTCAAAGTGCATGGAGGTGTAATAGCCTTCAGTGTCTACTGAGTAGTGAGAGACGGTGTCAGCTTTCTCCGACGGTGGTTTGTCAGAGTAGCTGCTCTCACAGGTGGCCATGCTGGTGAAGCTTGGGCAGCCCAGGCTGCTCTCAGCCTCTCTCCCCAGCTCAGGGCTGAAGTCCTGTGAGTGTGGAGGGTCTGGGTAACTCCACTCCCCCTCAATGGGAGTGCTGTCCCCTGCTTCCTCTAATATGTCCATAGCTGTGGACGAGAAGGAGCCTGCCCGCTGGGTCCTGAGGCCTGGGTAGTGGTCCAGTAGGAAGCTGGTCTGGTCATCGTTGGTGTGAGTGGCAGCGTTTAAGGACAGCTCAGAGTCACAGTGTGAGGAGCCCGTCAGCTGCGGAGAGGCTGCTGGGGGGATTGTTTCTGAGGTCTGTGAGGGGCATGTGGAGCTGCTTCCGCTCCAGTTCCCACTTGAGGACTGGTGGTCGTCCTTATGGTCCATCTGGCCTCCCAGCACCCCTGCTGCTGAAACGGAATGGAGGGGGCTACTGAAGGTGTCTGAACTGGATGAGATCTCGCAGCTGCCCATGTCGACCTTCCTGGGCAGCTGGGATCTGGTCTTCTCCATCCAGCTGCGCTCCGGACTCTCTGAGAGCTGCTTGTACTTCAGGCCCAGCTGGTGCTCAGACATGGCCTGGTCATCCGTGCTCTCTCCTTCATCCTTCAGAATCAACTCCCCAGGTACAGACAAGAAGTCCTCAGTGTCGAAGGGCGAAAGCTCCTCCTCATCGTCGCTGTCATTATGTCCGTTGTCTATCATCCGGCTTCCATCTCGGGGGAGACTCCGGGAGCGCAGGTGTGCGTCCACAGAGGCGGTAAACATGGCCACAGCGCTGTCCGGCAGGGAGGAGATGTTGCCTGCAGAGTGGGAAAGGGAGAGGGAGAGTCCCTGGCCTCTCTGGGCCCTGATCCTCCTCCGAGACGGCGCTCCTGAAATCAAAAAGTCTTCTGTCTGGCAACCTGAGTCTCTTGTGCTGAGATGGCTGGCCAGCTCCTCATTGGAGGGAGTGATATCGAGGCTGGCATGAACTATCACTGTCCGCTCTCTGGAACCAGGAGAGTCATCAGAATCTGGGAGATGAAAGGCACACAAGGACAATAAGCACATATATAAAAAACTATAGATTAAAACTGAGATGAGTGCACTTTATTTATATTGCGTTCCTTAAACTTTAATTTCTGTATTTCGGTGTCTTTTTTCACAATAATACAAATATATAAAATCTTATTATTCAGTGGTTTAAGGCGTTGACCATGAATCACAACCGTCTTCCCGTTGGGAACTTTTGCTGTCATTCCCCATCTTTCTCTGTTCCCTCATTTCCTGTCATCTCTCTACTGCCGTCTGGCTGATAAAAGCATGAAATGCCCTAAAAATATCTTTAAAAAACAGGACAAACTAACACTGAAAATATGTCTCCTATCACTAGTGGATGTTTCTCATATTTATATTGCCACATTATAAAGCTGACCATTCTGCTTTTCTTCTGTAGTATACTGATGTGGAGGAGATTTAATGACATATAATGTACTGAACTGCTTTGTATTACTATTAGCCACATTGTCTCTACAATGAAACATGTAACATATGATTTTGACCCCTAACACTAAACCCTTCTTGTTGACATGACACCAAGTGTAAAGCATTACAGCAAATAACAGAAACATCCCCTTTGTTTTACTTTGTTTTACTACAGAAGCGGCTTGAATAAAATGTCAGATATCACGTGTGTTTGTGACTGACAGGGATAGTCTTATGATGAAGTCACAATGAGTTACATACCTAAGTCTTGCTGCACCTGTCTGGGAACGCCGGCGACAGTCCTCCGTCTCCTCAGCTTCCTCCTCCTCTGAAGCACAGACTGCGAGTGGACGAGCGAGCAGCGCACACTAGCATCTCTGTCAAAGCCAACCCCTGCAACGGAGACGATACATCTGAGGAATCTTTGTTTAGTGGCAACTGCAGCGATTCCTTCTTTAACTCTCACACTGTCTCGTGAAAAAAACAACAACAAAGAACTGTAACACTCGGCTGATCTAAATTAGATAGTCTACAAAAATAGCAGTTATCTGAGGGAGCTTAAAGCCACAGTGCGACAAACTGGGTGCCTGGAGTAAGAATACGGAGTTTTTTACTACTTGATGAGCTCAGATCATGAAATGGAAAGCAAAGAAATTACCTTTACCCAAAACATGCAAAAAGAAAAGTCACATGACAAAAATGAGTTGTCATGTTGATGGGTTTACTAACCAAAGGGGAAAAAAAGGAAAATTCCTGCTTTCTGCTTCAGTGTTGCTGCGTGCCCTCCCTGTTTTCCTGCCTCTCCCTCACCATACACTATGACTATCATGTGATAGCAGGTCAGGCCTTTCAGCGCCATAGCAATCGCCGGACTTTGCTTACAATGTGCATTTTTTCCCTCAACTGTCTCCGACTCAGCCGGTGCTGGCGTACAGCTCTGCTTTTGAGTCAATGTGAGCAAGGGTAAATAACGTCGGGCAGGCCTTTTCAACAATTTGGACACAACTACTTAGCATTCATGTCACAGCATCTTGCCTTGCAATCACATGCACAAAGCGCTGAAGCATGAGGAAGAACGTTAATACAAAGCATGACTTGCACTTTGAGAGTGATTCTCTGTGGCAACATTAACGCCTTTGATAATGAAGAGGCTTTATAATTAATAGCAGAATTTCCAAATTTCTTACAAATATTTTAATTTGTTTTGTAATTTGTTTGTCGTATGGGGAAAGTAAACTCTCCACAACAATTAGAGGAGTGCCAAATCTCAGCAATGAGGAGAGCAGTAGTGTGTGCAGTGTTTTTACATATTTTGGTGTTGAAATGACTAGTACATACGAAAAGGTTTGAATCTGTGCAGTAGATGGCTTCAGCTGGCAGCCGTGTCTGTCACCTATTCTTACGGGGCGAATGTGCCTGTCAAAATTACATCAAAGTGCTTATTTTTGCCACCGACAGGCTCAGACTGTTATACGTGGTGTCTGACAACAGCATGGAAAGGATCCCAATTAGTGACTCCCGGTGACAACTTTTGTTTTTAACCAGAAACAGAAGCCTCGCTCAAGGACAATTCTCGCTCTGAAATCTCGTGAGTTGTTGCAGGAAACGACGGTGGAAACAAGGGAGAAGAGTTTGTTTGAGTTTTATTTCAACACAACAAACTCCTCTCTGCAACTCTGGCTTCCACCGTCGTATTCCTGCAACTACTCTCTTGTGAGATTTCAGAGCGAGAATTGTCCTTACGCGAGACTCTTATTTCCTGTTGAAAATTAAGGGTGTTACTGGGAGTCACTTGTAATGATCCTTAGAATACCGAAATTATCCTTTAGACAATAACAGTAAAAGTTTAAGGAATAGTTTAACAGCATGGGAAATACACTATTTCGCCTTCTTGCCAAGAGTCTGGTAGATTGGCATCACTCTCATGTTTGTGCACTTAATTGAAGCTTTGGCCAGGTGATGGATAGCTTAGTTTAGACTGGAGACAGGGGGAAACAGCTAACCTGGCGGTCAAAAGTTCAAAAATACACCTACCAGCACCTCTAAAGCTCACTAATTAAAACGTTATATCTACTTTGTTTAATCCGTGCACAAACAGAAATGTCCAAGTGGTGGTGTTATGTGTTAGGTGCTTTCTTTCCAGGTGCGATGACTTAGGTTAAAAGGTGCTGGTGGTCTAGCTGGACACAGCCACGCTAGCTGCTAAGCTAACTGTCTTGTGGACATACAGGCATGACAGTGCTATCAATCTTCGCATCAAAAACTCTAGGCAGGAATACAAAAAAAGTGTTTTTCCCAAAATGTCAAACTATTCCTTTAAGTAAAGCTACAAACGCGCTAAAGAGAGCTAGCACTGCTGAGGGACAGAATGACGAGCTCTCCTAACAAAGACGTTTAAGAAAACTCCACCACAGCTCTGCCCTGTCACAATAAACAGATTCAGACATAAAACAGTGAGTGCTTTAAATTTACCAGTCACATTAATGGGGATGACACATGAGTTGATGACTTGGGAATTGGTTTTCATTCTTTCCTCTGGGGTGGGCAGCGGCAGGGCTTTAGACCAGTTAGTCTGCTTGTCCAGGGTGGAGGGGATGTTAAGGATGGGAAACTTAGACCGGTGACCTAGAGCCACCCCGTCAGTGTCGGGGTCAGAGGGCGCAGCCTGCAACAGATGAATATTTGCATGGTTAGGTTGTTAGGATTAGGTGGCATTACGTGAGAAATAGTACGGCAGAGTTAAGAATGATCAAACTCAGCTTCAGAAAGGGGAATGTGTAGAGTAGAGTGATTAAATTTAGGGATTATACTAAGTGTAAAAAAGTGTTTGTCTAGGAATGAGCTGGGGACTAGATGTAGAGATTTGTGTCTTAGTAAACTGCAGCAAAGACTGCTTACTGTCAGAGCAGAGGCAGATCAATACACATGCCCATCCAGAAGCTGAGTTTCAATGTTCGAGTGCAAAGAATTCGATAAGTAATAGAAAAGCATGCTTTAGAGACAGAGAATAGAAAGCACAGCAAACACTCGCAGAATCTACTCTACTAGGTTTCATGCAAATGAAGTGCGCAAAGGGGAAAATCTGAATTTTAAAAACAGGAAATAATGTCAGATCAATAACAAGTGTCACACACTGTACATCACATGTCAGAATAAATACTAATTCTGCTTTGAGAAAAAGAAACTCCTCCTTCACTCTGCACAGGACAGAAATGTGACAAACAGTAATTCCCAGCCACTACACGCTGCGGTGGAAACTCTTAGCTCATACTCTGACAATCTGTGGCACCTAAAGTCACTCTGCTGCACAAGAACGAGAAATATTTAAGAGGAAATACTTCACGGCGGCATTCCTCTGAACGGCAGCCTCAGTATCAATCACTGCACAGTCCTCCCTTCTGACTTCTCCACATCCTTTTTCCACGGGCCTCCTCAGACTTTTAAAGTTCAGTCATGTAGATCCCCTGTCACTTATACCTCTGTGCTAAATGAATTTAGGGTATGAAGTTCTTACCTTGAGATTCCTGCAGAGAGGCACATGTGAAAATGGGGGTGATTCTCAGGCTGAACTGGTTCCCACCTTCACCACCCGACAACCTCCCACCCCCCATTTAAAGACATCTCTCGAGCCTTTGTGCTCTCTGTTCCCAGTAGACCAATGAGACCCTGACAAAACCCCGGCCACAAAAGAAACCGGTTCCCTTGGAAACTTCTCTCAACTAGTAGGGGGAAAAATCAAAAGGAGAGCATTTACAGCTGATTTGTTTCAAAAACAGAAAGGTGGTTTCAGGAGTGTCTGAGAGGAAGGATGAGCGAGACAGGAGTGAATGAAAGAGACGGTGAAGGAAAGGAAAAAAGGAGTGTTAGGTGATTGCCCCTGTCCTCGGGCTCATTTCTTTCTCACAGCGGGCATCATGCAGGATATATTTGGTGAAGAAACAGCACAGAGAAAGAAACACAAGGCTGTCAGCTCTCTCGGGGATGGGTGCAGCGAGGAAACCGCAGCACTGAAGGATCATGGGTAATCACAGGCGCAAGCTTGGAGAAGCCCAACCTATCATTAGAGAAACCCTGGCTGCGGGGCAACTGTGACTGTGGCCCTCACACACACATTCCTAACATACTGCGCGCTCAAGCCCCGGCCCTTCACATGAACTCCACCAACAAACTGTCTGAGTGTGTAAATGTGTGACGTGTCAGCTTGGATGAAACTTTAAAAGTGGTGCTCTCCTTCAGTTTCACAACAGACATGCTGAAAAGCTGCATTAAGAGGGCATGCATTTCAAAAGGGGATTCGTTATGTAAATTAGAGGAAGTCAAACAAACAAGAAGAGGTAAGGAGTTGCGAAATGAAGTGTTTGTAAGAGCACACAGGAGCCCAGAAGGAGGGAGGGACGGAGGGAGGGAGGGACCACTACCTTTCTGCTCCAGGGAGAGAAGCGGCAACATTCGGTAGGGGAGGAGGAACGGGTGGATTCAAACTGAATTACAGGGCAAAAACAAAATAGGACAAGAAAACCAAATGATAGAAATGAACATGGAGATATTCAACATACACACGGACAAAACATTTAACAACACTGTGGGAAACTCGGTGAGGAGGAATATGTGGACTGTAAAATACATTTCAGTCAGGGCAGGTTGATGAGCTTCTTAAAACCTTCCTAAATGATTTATGCAACATTTATTCTCGATGTGAAAAAACATCAAATAAATTCAGGGCTGTCAAAATGAAATTTAAACAAGCATGCTCTGCACTGACCACGTTAAATACATCACAAACACATCCCACTCCCCTCTTTACCTGCGTTTGTGCTAACTGAGTTGTTGCATCTCTAACAAGTCTCTCTGGCTGCTTGGAGGGAGAAATGTGCATTTCACTTTAAAAGTACATGAAAAATCTGCGTGCAGCATTGTGCACATTTTCATCCCCATCAAATAAAGTCGAATACAAAAAAGAATATCAACACTCATACCATTTAAAAAATAGATATTAAAAGTACAAAATAAGACATGTATTACATAGTTGAGAGGCAGAACTTTGTAAACTGATTAAAATAATTTGATAAATTTAAACCATAATTTAAAATGGTCACCTTTGGACCATTTTAATGTCTGACTGGTAGCCTGACCTCCTTAAAGTCAGATCCAAATGTACAAGAAGAAAGGCTGTTAGGGTCTAAAAGAGAGTATAATGTTAGTCGTCTCACCGTTGTCAAATTTATGCCCCTGTGTTCTTGCCTCTGGATGATTTGTGGGGAGGGGCACATGGGCATCGGGGGCACCGCCGACATGGAAATGGTTACTCTCCGCTCCCTGCTGCCCAACAGTCTCCTCTGGTGATCTGCAACAAGAATCACGTAAGACTTTCTGTGTGTAGTCCCACGTACTCACACACGTACAGTAAATGACATCTGATTGGAAGGGGAAAAGGTTAAAAGTTTCCAATATCTACTTAAATCATAGGTTCACATTTTTTCATGTCTGCCCATTGAGCAGCTGTCTATATTACTGTGTTCACCCGTGTAAAGGAACATTTTAAGATTATTTCATCAACGGCTCACACTATCCTCTGCTCTTACATGCAGGGTGTAGTTGCAAAACATGTCCACTAGAGGGTAGAACAACACAAGAGTGACCGGGTACTAACAACAAGCCGCAGACCTTAATGGTGGGAAGCATTTATCCCTTTTTAAAATAAAGCAACACACAAAAAACCCAAAGGCAATGTTTTTAAATGACATGTCAAATAAAAAACGGAGAGCGGATTAATTAGGATAGACAGAGCGAGAATCAAAGCAAACTTTGTTGCAGTGGTTTGGCTATGCCGCTGTGTTGCGGGCACACAGTTGAGTGTCAGGGGGGCCTCACCTCGGTGCATGGCCCACAGGCAGAGGTTGGCTTGCCTGTGGAGCTCTTCTACACATTCTGGCCGCGTGGTGGGGTGGAAAATGTTCCTCTGCTGGTGCCAGGGAGCTTGGTAATGTGCCGTCAGCTTACTCTCCACATCCAGGTTAGACACCGCTGTCAAAGAGAGACGGAACGGACCCGGTCAGACAGCAACCAAAGCGTGTGCAAATAATAATTAACTTTATTTATATAGCCCCTGTTAAAACAGGGTTACCTGTTTAAACATGCATTAAAAAACATCTCAGACACAGACAAATGAAATCAAGCAATTTTAAATAATATAAAGTTAAGAAGAACAACAGTGATACAGTTAAAATGGACATATATGACAAGATACAAATGGAAGGACACACTAAAATTAATCAATTGTTTTTTTTAAAGGTATGTCTTGACAAGTGATTCAAAAGGCAGGGCGTTCCAGAGCTGAGGGGCTCTAACTAGCAAAAGCCTGGTGACCTTTGGTTTTGAGCGAGGACTTAGAAACAGCTAACAGCGCCCTGCCCGAGGATCTGAGCTCATAGGGGAACAGCAATTCAGCAATGTAGCTGGGATCTGAACCACAAAGTGCTTTAAAAGTAAAAAGTTAAATCTTAAAATCAATTCTAAAACTTACAGCTACAACAGCACTGACCTGATCATGTCTTATAGTGTTAGTTAAAAGTTAAGCAGCTCTATTTTGTACATGCTAAAGTCGTGAGATAGTTTTTTGGTTTAGCCCCGAATACAATGAATTGTAATAATCCAACCTAGATGACATTCTCAAGACCAGGCCGAGAGCGAAATCTTGATTTTTGAGATGTTTCTTAACTGATAAATACGTGATTGGACAACATTTGTTACATGTTTTTCAAAAGAGAGGTCACATTTAATATTTGAAGCTAGAGATCCAAGTTGTTTTTTGTAAAATAGGGACAGACTTTTAGGGGCCCAAAATAATAATTTCTGTTTTATTCTCATTAAGCTGTAGAATGTTTTAGGACAAATGGAGCAAGTTAGCGGTGACAAACAGTTAAAACTGTCACATACTCAGCTCACATTACCACTTCCAGTACTCTTTATTTTTGATAAATGAGGTACAGCATATATCAATGGACTGACTACAGATACTGTGTATGCCGACAGATGCAATGGAAAAACAACTTGCTGTCATTACAAGGGGCAGCCTGCTGAGCGCCACGGGTACTGGTAAGGAAACCTTTAAATTTCCACTCTGGCATTTTTGTGGCCGATACACTGGTTAAGATCATTAAGGTGAACTCCACAGCCTCAGACGAACGTAACTCACGAGCTTTCCATTACATTGACAATGTGGCGCCATGACAGCAGCTGAGGGATGAAAAAAGTTGTCGCGATCTGAGGTGGAGATGATATACCGTCTCATATTAAGAGTCGGAGCCTGAGAAAGAAAAGCAGGACAATCAGAGCCAATGTTAACCGGACAATAGCCTGTTTACTAATGCAATGCTATTACCTGCAGCCAAACAATAGGTATTAACGTAACCTGATACTGTGACTTTCATCCTCTAAACATTGACCAGTACCTGGATTAATCTCACTGCTCCCCCTTGTACCAACTCAGGTTACAGAAAGGGAGACTCTCAGCTCTCAAATTACAAGGAGGGGCTGGACCAGGGGGAAACCTTTGAGCTATTTAGTATCTATGCTATTGCAGTAGTAGAGGTGAATTATACAGTAATTGTTAGGTATGTGCAATAAATAAGTAAAACACAAGAGTAAAGCTTGGTCAATAAAACATGCGCCAGTTGACAAATGAAACACCTCCCCCTCCCCCAAAACAAAAACAAATGTCTCTTCCTTTGTTTCTCCCTCTCACACAAACAAGCACACATGCAATCTCTTTGCACTGATACTCTTGCCTCTCTACAAACTAACAATCCAAAGGCAGACCAACCAAGGACATAATCTCTGCTGGCAGCACCACAAATGTATCAGATCAGATCTACACCTACAGAAACAATAGATAGAACAGACGTCAAATAATCAGATAATAATCAGCATAAATTAAGACTCAGTCAGGCACTTGCGTGACATAACCTCTTACACATCTGTAGGGGGATCTAAGGAAGGATTAATACTGCTCAGCCTTTGCTTTAGCAGACACATCTCTCAGCCTTCCCCTATCTGGTGGACATTTCTGGGCTTGTCCTTGACCTGGCAGCTTCACTGAAACACACTCTGCCTGACCTCCATGTCTGCTTGAAGGCAGCTTTGGCTGAGCATACTCCAAGTTTGCTTTGTAGTCCAGCCAGGAGCCAACTTTAGCCGGTTTCACTCAAAAAAGATGTAGTTCAACGGCTGATCGCTGCTACCAAAGGTCAGGCAGCCCGAGCGCAGCATCACACTGACGCTCAGCCTGCTGCGCCATATGGAAAGTGATTTTCTAGCAGCACTACTACTGTGAGTCCTGTCCAAGAAATGTGCTTCCATGCATGCAATGCAGAGACAACTTGACGTTTTCCATAAAACACCCCAGAGTGATCTAAAAGCCCTCTGTGGTGACCCCGTTGACCTGAAAACAAGCTCTGTGTCTCCTGTTCAGCTGTAGATGCTGGATGTGAGCTCATCAAAGAGTAGATTAAGTGTGTGGAGCAGGCAGTGAGGCTTTTCTTGCTGCTTCAGAATAAAACAATGTTTTACTACGTCATGTGTTGTGAATAGGGCTGGGAAGCAATTCCATAGTAAATATTTTTGGATTTTTAATGGAATCGTTAATACATGATCATGTTTTCTTTTTACAAAATCCTGTTAATGTTATTAATGATTTCAAGTCAGCTGTAAATAAAACTAACAAAATTAGCTGAATTAGGAAAACCATAAAGGACTAGTTCAACATTTTGCGTAACACACTTATTTGCTTTCAGTGATCACTTTATTCTTATTCTGTACATCTTTATGTGTATGCAGTATGTGTGTGGCAATAAACTATGACACACACATACACACAAGGCCGCTATATTTCAAACTTGAAACAGCACAGCAAACTGTGATGCGTCCTCGCTGTGAACTGTGGTGAGATAAGTGAGTAATCAGTGAAGTGTTCAAAAGATTCAAGGCCTCTGACAATGTTTGTCAGCTTTTCGCCTCCCTGCTGAGATATGAACTGTTGGCCCCACAGTGACACCCGCAACCTTTCCAACAAACTAAAAACCCATTTGACAACAACACTAACAACAAGGCTGGGCTCTCTGTGCCTGACTCTCTTTAACTTTCCTTGTTTTTGTCTACCTCCTCCTTAAAAACACATTGGCACTTCCTTTGACTGATCTGTGACTTTCAGTTTAGTGAGGGTGTACATACACAACAACACACGAGTGCATGAGAGGCGAGTAAAGAGTTTTTCAAGGAGACAGAGGTCCATATGGGGAAACCCTTAAATGAGAGAACCACGGCCAGCTGTTAGCCCAAACAGGGCAAAAGAAAACACATCACCAACATCAGCTTTCAGTCATTTCATTGATCTCTTCACAGCTTTCTCTGTTTTTTTCACATCCAGGCTAAGTGATCTCCAACATGGCCGTACTGAGCCACATGGCCTTAGGTGAGAAGGTAAACAAGCCTTTTAACAAAAACTCTGACACTTTAACTGTACTTTCCAATTTTGAGTTTTTTAATAAGCAACATTCTTCTTCCTCCTTACTTATTCTCACTTAGAATCACCCTGTGAACTCTCCCGGAAAGGTGAAATCACTAGCAGTATATTATCCGCACCCTGACACAGCCTATCAATCTCTCCTTCTCCTCCTCCTCTTCATCTGCAGCAGGATCATCTCCCAATAACCACACCGCTATCAGCCCTGCCAGCAGGCCTTCAGGCCAGGAGAAGGGGAGGGGGGATGAAAGCCTGCGTCCTCAGACTGCCTCTGCCTTGTAATTTACTCAGCACTGGCCCAGACAGGAGCCAAACCAAACCCCTTACACCCACACTCACACTCTCACACACCTACAATTTGCCAGCGGCCTGGGAAAACACAGCCGCAGATGTCCGTCATTAGGTCACACAAGAAAAACCTTTCCTGAACTTCACGGAACAGGAACACAGGTGAGCGTGGGCTGTGCTCAGTCAGCTCTGCGTACCTGATGTGAGTTAAGCGTGTTATAAATGATAGATTATTTGAATCAAGTGGAATATTTTGCACAAATAAGACAAAAAAAGAAGAGATTGTTTTCAGGTATTGGGAACAAAAAACAGACATTTTGGCCCTGAAAGGCTTTTTCAGTGAGCACAGAACTTTCCTTCTGAGCAGACAGTGCAGCAACAACTGGGTGTCACTGCACGTAGGGCTTCCCCACAGCTGGGTTGTGTTCACACTCTGCAACAAAGGTTAAACTAACCGAGCAAATGTCTCCAACACAAGCTGAAGAGACGAACACTTTTCATCTTGTCATCTCTTACATCTTGTGGCGATGCTCAAACAAAGCGCAGTCATGTTTCTCTAACCACTGTGAGGCAGACGGAGCGGCAAGTTGTGCATGCAGAGCAAAAACGGGAGGTGCATGCAGCTCAATTAAAGCCCCAGTAAATTATACAGTACCTTGGGATGTGAGTGCAAGGCAGCATCCTAGAGCCATGACAGAGCTGTGTGGTTTTAACTCTGAGCATCAGCGAGACGTTAAATCATTCGAGTGTCTCTCCCTCAGTCACCTCAACAGAAACCCTCACGTGTCCCTCTTGTCTCTACAGCAGCGTCCCTCAACTTCACTGCCACACTGACCTACAGCTCCACTGCAACATCTGCTCACACTCCTCCCCCATGCCCCCTTCCCCACCCAGCGCTGGGTACAGATGGTCCAGCCAGGCCTTGACTTGGGCTACCACTAATCTGTTTATGGCCTGCTACCGGAGAGTAGGAGTGTTAATCCAAACCACTGAAACAACACTGACCGCTCGACCCACAATGGAGGATTGTGGAGGTTGTAGAGGAATGCCAAAGGGCGTTGAATACTTGAATCTGTAACTCAAATGTTATTGCGCTCAAATAGCAGTGTGTTATTCTCATTAGTTTTTTGGATAAATCACTGATATACTCAAACTAAACAATTCCAACCTAGTATTGTGCTGTATATCATAGAAGATGGAAGAGCTATAAAACAAA